AGGAGAGTCGGAAAATTGACATCATCAGTAGAGGAATTTATTCACTCCAATCCTTTTTACTTAGATTCACCAACTATCAAGTAGCGATGGGAGCTTACCAGCACCAACTTTGGAACAAAAGTCTCCTGATACTGGAATCCGCACCTGAATAGATCAAAACTGAACTGATTAATGCCCATACTGAGGCTACCCCAACTATAAGGAGAGTCGGAAAATTGACATCATCAGTAGAGGAATTTATTCACTCCAATCCTTTTTACTTAGATTCACCAACTATCAAGTAGCGATGGGAGCTTACCAGCACCAACTTTGGAACAAAAGTCTCCTGATACTGGAATCCGCACCTGAATAGATCAAAACTGAACTGATTAATGCCCATACTGAGGCTACCTTGCTGGCAAAACAACAAAGGAGTGCAGCTAGACATGCAGCTGCCGCGGCATCGAAGACCCTAGCATCCTTGATAGCGTTGCACTGACACGCCTGGCTTAGATCCACCGGACTGTCTGATGATGCCAAGTCAAGAATAGAAGACCTTCCCTTCGACGGCACATCTCTCTTTAATCAGAAAACAGATGAGACTATGAAAAACCTTTATAAAATACTGAAAATGGCAAGGTCATATACCAACCAACAAGCCTTTCAATACTAACGACCTCAATCCAGACAGACTCAATTCTATCCACAATCATTTCAACAACAATTATATCACAGATTCCAGCCATATCGACAATTTGGATCACAACCAGTTGACAGGTCCTTTCAAGGTCCACCACCATCAACATCATCCTTTCAGAATCGAAATCAGTCCCATCGACGCCAGCCTTTTAGAAAACTCTAGATAAAGGGGAGAATGGTTTGTTGTGATCAATCTACAGGACACTTACTAATATATTTTGATCCATCCATCTCATCAAAAATTTCTCAGATTCCAGTTTGACAACATTGTGTACCAATTCTGTTCCCTACCATTCAGACTTTCCATGGTGCCAAGGACTTTCACGAAGTGTGTGGCACCAGTTGCAGCGCATCTCCGCCTTCAGGGTATAAACATCTACCCATACATAGACGACTGGCTGATAGTTGCAATGTCATACCAAAACACCAGGAGAGCTACAACCATCACGCTCGACACACTTCAGAACCTTGGACTCAAAGTAAACTATACAAAATCTCATCTCAAACCAGCACAGACAGTCACCTACATCAGATCCCTCTTCAACTCCATGCAAGCCAGGGCCTTCATGTCCTTGGAATGATTTATAAGGTTAAAGAAGGCAATTTGCCCCTTTTGATCTCAAACTTCTATTCCAGCCCATCATGTTCAACACCTCCTCAGGCTCATGCTGTCCACAACATCAGTAATCCAGCATGCCTGACTCAAAATGAGGTTGCTCCAATCGTGGTACCTGCCACTATTCAACCCAGTGATAGACCACCCATCCATGAAATTGACTGTGACACCAGAGTTAGCCAATCAACTCACTTGGTGGACATCAATGTCGAACCTCCATGTCAGATGACCATTCCTGCTCTTCCATCCGACAGTGCAGGTCACCACCGACTCCAGCCTGTCCAGCTGGGGAGTGCATTGTCTTCATCACAAAATCCACGGCCTATGGATGAGACAAGAACAATCACTTCACATCAACCATCTCAAGCTCTTAGACATCATCAGAGCTTTCCATGCCTTTCTTCCAGTCATCGAGGGTCGAGTGGTGCAACTGGCAATGGACAATACAACTGCCCTATATTATGTAAACGAACAGGGAGGAACACATTCTTTATCCCTCCTGTACCTAGCCATCGATCTGTGGGAATGGTGTTACCAACATCAAATCATCCCTGTTGCAGTACATATTTCCACGGATGACAATTACATAGCAGATCATCTCAGCCGTCTGACACCGAGGACTCACGAGTGGTCCCTCAAGGATACCAATTTTGATCAACTCTGTCGCGGTTGGAGAGTACCTACCATTGATGTCTTCACTTCAAGTGCGAATATCAAATGCAGTGTCGATTGTTCTCGAGCCAGAGCAGACGAGAACTCCATCGAGGACATGTTCATGACAGATTTGAACAGGGAATTACTTTATCTATTCCCACCAATACCACTCATACAACGGACAATTGTCCGTCTCTGACACTTTCAATCAAATGTGATCCTCTTTGCTCCCTGGTGGCTGAGGCAACCATGGTTCACTCACCTCATATCAATGTCAACAGACTCGTTTAGACTCTCTCTGGTTCCCAACCTCCTAACTCAGAATGACAGGATGCTCTACCATCCAGACCTTCCATCGTTGAACTTGACAGCTTGGAGGATACTCCCGCCTTGAAGTGCATCTTGGATTGAGCATGAATACCGTCAACTCAGCTTCTATATGCAAATAAGTGGAAAGCCTTCTTTAATTATACGGAAATAAATAACTTACCTGCAATACCTGTTTCCTTGAAGACACTACTTACCTTCTTACTCCATCTCTTCAAATTTGGACTCCCTCATTCCACTTTAAAAGTCTATGTATCAGCCATTGTTGTCCATCAACCAGATAACTACATATCAGCAAAAGTTTTATCTCACCCTACAGTTAAAAAATTCCTCAAAGGACTCAATAACATTTGTCCACCATGTCAAAGTATTATTCCCCTATGGTCACTACAAATTATCCTTAATGCTCTCATGCGCCCACCATTCGAACCAATGGCCTCTTCAAATCTTAGGTTGCTTTCTCTAAAGACATCTTTTCTGGTGGCTATAACATCTGCTAAAGGAGCCAGTGAGCTTGCTACTGTTCGTTCTGATCCACCCTTTATCCAGTTTCATCCAGATCTAGAGCGCATGCTCCAAATGCTAGATGTAAGATGCTCTCTTGTATTTTATATTGCCAGAACTAAGGCTTTCAGGAAAACTAACAGACTTTTCATATGTTTCCATGGACCTCACAAGGGAGGCCCAGCCTCTTCACAATCCATTTCCGGATGGATAGTCCAAACTATTTCTCTGGCATATGAACTATCAGGCAAACCACCTCCTGATCATGTGTTTGAATGCACATTCCACTAGAGCGCTGTCAACATCTACTGCTTTCCAGCATGGAATCAAGATTCCTAACATCTGTCATGCTGCAACATGGTCTACTCCATTGACCTTTGTCAGGCATTACTGCCTAGATGTGAGAGCACGCAATGATGCTGGATATGGCAGATTTGTATTGCCATCCTTCCTACCGTGACGTCCCACCATCTGGTAAGTGAAGCTTGCCAGTCACCCATTTGTGTGCATTCACAGAGGCCACGAAGAAGAAAAAGAGGTTACCTACCTGTAACCATAGTTCTTCTAGTGGTCCTCTGTGAATTCACACATCTCACCCATCCTCCCCTCTCTCCGTCATGGGTTATATTAAATTATTCTTCTGCCAGGCGGACAAATTCTAGGAACTGAGGGGAATCTTAGGTGGGCGGAGCATGTGCTCCACAGGGGAGTGTCCCACTAACTTTTAAGCTCTAGAATCTTCCAAGACATTCAGCGCAGGCGCAGAACAACCCATTTGTGTGAATTCACAGAAGACCACTAGAAGAACTATGGTTACAGGTAGGTAACCTTTTTTTTTTTTTTTGCCTTTCACAATGCCATATTCCAGTTCAAGTCCCACCCCCTCGGATTGTCCACGGCTCCCAGTTTTTACAAAATGTTTAACCCCAGTCACCGCATGCCTACGCCTCCACAACATCACCATCTTCCCTTACATAGACTACTGACTTGTGATTGCAGATTCATTTGCCCTGGTCACTCTGCTGGATCCTGGACTTGAAGTAATTTTTTCCAAATCTCATCTCGAACCCTCCCAAGCAGTAGACTGATTACATTGGTGCCCACCAGGACTCTCATGTTGTCAGAGTCTTCCTCCCTGACAAGAGGATGGTCAGATTCAACAAGGCAATCATTTGGGTCCATCCTCTACCCTGGTGATGGGGCTTGACAAGCCCAATGTCTTCTCGGACTTATGGCACTGACCACTGCTGTAGTACAGCATGGCAGACTCAAGATGCGCTCCTCTATCTTCATATCTGTCTCTCTTCAACCCCCTGAAGGACCGCACCTCCCAAGTCACACCAGAACTAGCAAGTTCACATAACTGAACATTCTCCCTTATGAGACCTTTTAAGCTGGAGATAATTTTTCCTTTCGAGTTTTGGAAATGTGATCTTCTGAGTCACCAAAGACACATTATGTTGGGGGAGGGGTGAAATGAAGAAATTGCCATACACTGAAGCTGTTCTGTTGGCACTCGGGACAGTTACTCTAAAGCTGCTGCAGACCGAAAGTCCGCACTTCAAAACAGTCTCTTTTAAAGACGATTGCAATTTCGAAAATTTCTTAAAAATAAAATATATAATTTATTCTAGTCTGCCTGGTGGATGCAGAAACAATGGTTAATCTTGTTTGTTTGTTTTTTAATAAAGTTTTTTGAAAGTTTCTCTACATCGTGTTCTCTCTCTCCTCCCGGTTTAGTTACTTTCTCTAGTTCAACATAATGATTAACCTCTTTGGAAGACCTCTGCCAGGAGAAATAGGGCTAAAAGACTTCTGCTAGTTAACGGCTGTAGCAGAGCCAGAGGTCCTTGCCTGTTCCGACGACAGACACGGGCGTGTGTGGGAGGGTAGAATCTGGTCCTTAAGCAGACCTGCTGGGCTCTGAAGCCGTGCAGGGGTTGCCGCTTGTCCATGTCAACAATACGGTGCTAGAGGAGCGCACGCCCCCCCCCCCGAGTCGTTCAGACGACTACGCTCCTCACTTGGGGCGACCCCCGCTGGCGCAGCCCTTCCCTGGGCAGCCCTTCTCCTCTCTCCCCTCCGTCGGCACCCCCGCCCGCCCGGCGAGCCCTTTGGGCCATAAAGAGCGAGGCAGGGCAAGGGGTGTGTGCCGAGGTGGGTGGCGCCGGAGGCGAGACTCCCTCCCCGCCTCTTTTATTTCTCGTCCGGGAGAGTGGCTGCCTGTCGCTAAGAGCGCCACTGAAAGGGGTCCCGGTTGGTGGGCGTGTGTGTGTGGGGGGGGACAACGACGACGACGACAGCTACGAAGTGCGCCCGGCCCGGGCTGCTGCCCGTGTCCTCCCCCTCCTTGCCGCCGGCCGGCTGGCCGGGCGCTTTCCACCCGAGAGGAGGGCTTCTCTCATGCGCGGGCTCTGCCATGCGGCGGGCGCTCCGCTCCGGACTGAGCGCCGCGGCGCTGCTCCTGGCCGCCTGCGCCTCTTTTTCCACAGGTAAAGCGGGTGCCCCGGAGCCCGCGCGCCTGAAGGGAGGACGGGATACCGGGGGGGGGGGGGGCGTTCCGAACCCGTTTCCCAGGCGTGTGTGTGTGCGCGCTTCGAAACCTGTTGCCGAGGCCCCCTTCGGCTGCCTGCGTGGCCAGCGCGGGTCATGGGCGGAGGGCGGGCGGGCGCGGAGGGTTCTCTGCACATGCTTAGGAGCTTTTCCTTTTCGGCCCCCCTTGACTGTATTGGAAGAACGACTTAGGGGAAAGTTTACTTCAGAGTTCGAAGATCTCCGTTCCGCGATGGCCTGGGTCCGTTCAATTTCAGGGCAACTTCTAATTTAAAAGGCCACAACGTCCGGGCACTCTGTAGGAGTGAACTTCCTGACAAGGTGCTCGTGGGGGGGGGAGGGAGCCGTCTGAAGTCCATCGCCGAAGGGCCCCCTCCAGGTTTGATCCTGTTGAACTTAATATAAACTCTGCAGGGTGGTGGTTGCCGTTTTCCAGGGCAAAGGACGGCTGGGCTGAGGGCAGGCAGATATATTTTTTTTAAAGGCCCCGTTCTTTCTTTAAAACCTCTGCTTCAAACACAGGAACTGACCTTTTTAGTCCGCATCCTGAGGATTTTTGTCATGTTGTATACATGCCTGCAAAACTCTTCCTAGTTCCTTAAAGAGGGGGGCACTCTGCACATTCTCAGAGGTGTGCCCCTGATTGTTATCTCAAATGTAAAAGGGCATAACTCTGCACTGAAAACATGTTTTGTAGGCGAAGCCTTGGCTCCCATGCGCTGCAAAGAGAAGCTTTCACCACTCTGTGTCATGTTTAGTTTTATGAAATGTGTGAAAAGGGACAGGTGTTGCATTGGGAAGGGATCTTGGACAGGATCTTGGAAGGGGTGTGTGGGATGTGCATTGGGTTTTCTGCTGCATCAACGTGGATCAGGTAGTCTGAATAAATGGAAGGTTTGCATACATGCTTACAGAACATTTATTAGAGGAAAGGAAGGGGTGTGTGGGATGTGCATTGGGTTTGGAGAGGGAAGGTGGAAGAAGAAAAGGTGGAGAACGTAAGGAGGTGAGAGAGGTACGCACAGAGGAAGGAATGTTATGTGTAATTTTATTGCTTTTTAATGCCAAACTAGAATAAATTGAAACTGCTGTTTGGATACCAAGGGGAACTTCTCATTGGTGCCAATGGAGGCGCCTTTTTTAAAAAAATAGTTCTGGAGAGGTAAACCCCCCTTGTAATTTTACACCTCTCAGTCTGAGGGCTTCTTTGGCTTCTGTTTGGCTCCTGTCCCTTAATTGTACCCAATTAACAACTTATCTTCTTTAGCTCTCACATCTTTGCTGCTGTAAGCAAGGTAATTTGGTGTTCTCCTGCTGATGCTTCTTGTTGAATAAAAGGGTATCAACTGTCCTCCTTTCCAGGGATTTCTCCTGCAAGCCACCTTCCCTTCCATGGAGCAAGGAAACAGTGCTTCTCATGTGTGGAAGTCAATTCAGTCCATATGCTTGGCTGAGGGAGTTTGGGGGGGTGCAAACACAAGTAGGTGTGATGGGTGGACACAGCGGCTGTCTGTCTCACTCTCTTACGTCCTCCACTTTTTCTTTCTAAGCGGCTCCCTCTCCAAACCCAACACACACACACCATTCTTTTCCTCTAATAAACGCATATTTTCCTCTAATAAATACAGGAATAACATATACGTACTGGGTTACTCAAAGAGTCTAGCCATACCTAGCCTTTTTCGCACTCAAGGAAAGTACTGTCATCTTTTGCCTGTTCTGCCTGTGAGGCATGGGGTGCAAGCCTCCCATTGAAAAGGAAGAGGAGGAGAATGTGGTGTCCTTCCAAAAGAAAAAAGAGTGATTATGCTATCAGAAGAAGGGGACTGAATAGAGTTGGAGATGGATACCTTTAGATAGTGGTGCCCTCAAAATGTTGGTGTCCTGGGGCCAAGTCCTGGGTGGTTCACCCTAGTTAAAATTTTGAGTTTAAAGGATGGGAAGGGATGAGTTTTTTGTTTTGTTTTTTTGTTTTTGCCTCCCTGGAAGGTAGATTCCCACCTCATTTGCCTGTATCCACCTGAATTCTGCAGCTCCAGGTGGCCACCTATACTTGGACTGTGCCTCGCTGGGTTGGCCTGACTCAGTGAACATTATGATGTCTGCATGGACCATATCTAATGTCGCTAACAGTATAAGAAAAGGGTTGCAAAAATTAATAATAATTAAAGGTTTGTGCAAGAGGTAAGCCATGCTAAACATTGAGGGAAAAGATGAACTTTGTAGTTACTATGTATTACGTAAAGTCACCTGATTTGCAAATGTTTGTTTATTTTGAATTCTTAGCGAGCCCAACGGTGCAGTAATTAAACTGCAGAACTGCTGTCAAGCCTCTGCTCATGACCCAAGTTCGATCCTAATGGGCTCAGGTAGCCAGCTAAAGGATGACTCAGCCTTCCATCCTTCCAAGGTTGGCAAAATGAGTACCTGGTTTGTTGGGGGCAAAGTGTTCCTTGCATAATTATAGTGTAAACCACCCAGAGAGTGCTCGAGCATTGTGGGATGGTATAGAAGTCAGAACGATAGATAGATAGATAGATAGATAGATAGATAGATAGATAGATAGATAGATAGATAGATAGATAGATAGATAGATAGATAGATAGATAGATAGATTAGATAGATTAGATAAAATAGATTAGAGAGATAGATTGGATAGATTAGATAGATAGATAGATAGATAGATAGATAGATTAGATAGATAGACAGACAGACAGACAGACTGAAGATTAGATAGATAGATAGATTAGATAGATTAGATAAAATAGATTAGATAGATAGATTAGATAGATAGATAGATTAGATAGATTAGATAAAATAGATTAGATAGATAGATTAGATAGATAGATAGATTAGATAGATAGATTAGATAGATAGACAGACAGACTGATTGGCTTGATTGGCTGATTTATTTATTTATTTATTTATTTATTTATTTATTTATTTATTTATTTATTTATTTTCTGGTAGCTGTATGGAGAGGCAAGTCATTACACCAGATACTGAAAACTTCACCAGTTGTTTGCACACTTTGAAGCCCACGTTGACACAATAAGGAGCCAGACACTTGCTTTCTCATTTCTTTGTCTTTTAACCATAAAAAGTGATAATAGGCTGTAGAATATTTTTCCTAGTTCAAGATTTTACGCTTGTATTGTGACAATGCGCAGCAGGTCTCATTACTGTGTGCATGGTCTATGTCTCTGTGACCAAAGATGTTTCTTTCTGCCACACAGACCCTCACATGGCACCGGCAGTAAAAGTAAGCACATCAAGCACAATAAGTTCTTGCTAATATTATGTACACTACTTCTGTAGCAAGGAGTTTGAGATGGGTATGCTCTGCTGAGTTTTGAGGAAGGATTTTATGGATGAAGTTTTATAAGTATGTTCCAAGGTGTGGAGCCTCAAAATAGAGTGAGGTGTATCTATTCAGTCCATATTCTGTGCCTTTCTTGTGTTGCTTAGTTTCAGTCTCTGTGTTCAAAATCTAATCTTCTTAAGAGGTGCTTTATTAAGATGAGAAATTATGCCAGCCTATAAATGTACGTGACAAGCCTGTGTCCTACAGATAGTTACTGCATAATTCACCTGATACTAAGCCTGTTTTCTCTCCTCTTAGACACTAGGGGTTCACCTTTACTAATTAATATCTCCCAATGTAATGTATCCAGCCTTTAAAAAAATAAATAAACCAGAGACATAATACACACTCATAGACATCAGTTCTTTCTTCGGTTTCTTGTCTGTTTAGTGTTGACAGCTGCTTGTGGCTGGTCTGTCTTCATTATTATTTCTTAAAGATGCTAAGAAGCTTAATGCATTTCATTATAATCAATGTATATATACAAGAATGAGGTCAGTTGGGTTTTACAGGGAACAATCAGTCAAAAGCTCTTAAGTACATGCGTTCAGTCCAAGTGGTTATGATCCTGATGTATTGTGGAGCAAATGAGACTATTTAACCTAAACATTGGGGTTTCAAATGCAATAAATACTCAAGTACAGAATCTTCAAAGTTATTACTTGAACACTTTTTAAAATGATGGGACCTAAACTAATTAAAAACACCAGCCTTTGAATTTTTATAAATTCAGTTGTGAATCATTGGAAATCATTGAAGACGGTAACTTCTCATCTCTTTTGACCCTCTCCCAGACCTCACACAAACAATGAAACTTGATTTCTCTTTTCTCCTCATTGCTCCTGAGGGACAAACTATTTGTGAGAAATTACCAGTCATTGGATCTGGTATCTCATTAGTTTTTCAGAAAAATGCATAGCAAAGGGCAGCCTGGATGTTGACAACACCAAGGGCAGCAGTCAAGATAGTCTCCAGGATACCTTCTTGTTCTCACTGCCATTCACATTTGTCAAAAACAATTGCATTGTGTTTTGGCTGAAAAGTAGTTAACTGAAATTTTTTTTAAAAAGAGTCCACTTTTGCAATTTTCTCTTGTTTGGTGTCACTTTGTGAATGGTAGTGAGCACAAGAGGGTATCCTGTAAACCAGGGGTTTTAAACTCAATTTACCTGGGGGCCGCTAGAGGCAGAGTCTGGGTGAGGCTGGGCTGCATCAGATTTTCCGCCA